GGTCTGGAGAATCACATCTCACAGTGCCAATGTCCCTCAAGAACTCTGCAGATACATAATGCCAGATCCTTCCTCTCAGCCCAGCTGCCCTGATTCCCAAAGAAAATGTTGTGGAGGGCTGACACAGTGGAATACATTGTCATATGGAGTTCTGAGCACCACACATACACAGAAAGAGGGGATGTGCTGGAGCACACCCCTCACTAGACACCAGACAATCCAAACAGGGTCAGGACTCATGGTACAAACCATTACAAAGACAGGCTTTGTTGTCTTGAGAGCTCACAGGGAGTTTTTTCTGTAAATGCTGTGGCCGGAAAAGGCAGTCTCCCTGTCCCTTTCCAGGTCTAAGTAACTCCACAAGAGTTACACAGTGCCCACCAACACTGAAGATACCTAGAACCAGCTGAGAGGAAACATTGCTTAGGGTGATTCCATACCTGAACTTTCATCAGGCAAGCTGAGGGGAACCTGCTGGCACAGATGGCTCCCAAAACACTCAGCTGCAGACAGATTTGCATTTCCAGGAGGACCATCACAACGAACAGACCATCACTGTACCATAGTAATACAGTGCACCTTCCACTCCCAAGACCAGAACTAGGGTTACCAAGGACTTTGTCTTGGTATCACATCTGTGATTTTAAATGTTTAAAGCTTCCAAACACTGTTCTTTTTGCAGGAATGGATAAAGAAATAAAAGGACAAGGGAGCCTTTACTCTATTCTTCATCAAATCCCACTGGTATCTACAAGGACATTGATAGATGAGCCTCTGTGATGCCAGAGAATTTCTGTACCTCTCTGAGCTCAGTTTTTCAAATGAAACCAAGAGAAGGCTGGTTTATAGCAGAGGTTGTGTTTTACTCTTTTGGATACTCTGTTATATACCATCAGAATCTGGCTGTCATTATTGTTACCTCCCAACCCAAAGCTCACTAGCTAGTCCTCTTTCTTGTCCTCTCCCCTGCATCCACAGCTTTCCACGACTACCCCATGCATCCACACACAGAGCACACACACCTGTTTCCCAGAGATCTCTTTGTGAAGCAGGTTGTTGTCTGATGGCCTAATTTCCCCCATGGATTAACAAATGACTCTACCGCCTTCTGTAATTCTATCACATTGTCCCCACACTCTTTCTTGCTTCTGGAAAAGTTTGACAGCGGTAGCAAGGGACTGGAGAGCAAAAGGTCCACTGAATGAAACCGAATTAAAAGTCTTGGACACCTGCAGTGTCAGTGTTGGACAGCCATCTGTCCCTCATTTGAAAGCACCATTACTGTCTGCCATACCTAATGTTGCTTGTCCCAGACAAATGTTAAGATTCTGCATGAACTAAGTTGATGTACTGGACCTTGCTTTGCAAAACTATCCTTTATTTTAAAGACAGGAGGAAAGGTATTTCACTGCTTTGTCTTCTGGTACATTACTGAGATCAGAAGAGTCACACTAACTCCTTCTTATTTAACTCACACCTCTTTCTATCTGCACACTGCCTAAAGTACAAAAACACTAGACCAAGTATGACCGTATTCCCTCTTCATATATACATGTCCTCTCCACAAATATGTATATATATATACACATATGTATATGAAATTATTTAAAATATGCTAGACTGATGCATATGCATACCCTCACACATGCACACACATCCTTCACACACATAAGTGATGAAACTTTTCAAGAGACCAATGTGCTGGGAGCAAAAAGGAGCAAGAAAAAGCTTTTTTGATGCTAAATTCTGGAGCGTACTATCCATCCAAGAAAAGAAGAAATAGGTCTTTAAGGACCTGATAGAACTGAACATTCATCCGCTAACAATGAAATATTAGTTTAGCAAGAGAAAAGCTTCACAGGCTCGTAAAGGAAGCACAAAGTGATACAATTTATGTTCTTAGCTTCTTTATTTAAGGAAAAACTGATTATCCATCTCTTCCCAAAATTATTTTTCTGTATGTTAGTTGAATTGGCAGAAGAACAACAGGTTTTTTTGTAGGAGGGACAGAAAACTAGATTCTCTGTGACGGTGTGCCTGAGAACTGTCTTTTGCTACTGAAACTGATAATGTTTCCCTGTCTGTGATGATATTGAAACCAAGAGATCTCAAAAGCTAAGAGAAATGGTAGTCAACAATTCATCTACAAACACTGTAGGGCCTTTGCTATAAATTGGAAAATGCATGTTGCAAAGCAAAATTTACTACCATTGGGTTTTTTCTTCAGAGGACTTCCCATATTTCTAAAAACTCATCCAGACACAAATCAGAATCAGAGTAGGAATAAAGAGGGAAAGTTTCATAGTCTTTGCCATGTAAAAAGTCAAACTGTGTAGATCCAGTCAATTTGACAAGTCAGTGATGTTGAGTCAAACCATATCCTTCGTAAATAAATGCCCACATCCTATAACCATCACCATATTCAGCATTCAGCAGTGATTCTTGTTTACTTCTAATCACAGTGGTTAAGACTGAATGTTCAGAGCAGCTGTTACATCTTCACATCCTGGGAGATAAACGTTCAGTCATAACAGAAAGGGGAGGAACATGAAGGTCTCTGGTCAGTAGAGAACCACAGATTCTGTGAGTTTAACATGTTTCTTTGCTGAAGTCATGAATATAGAACTGATTTGAGGGGGTAGTATTTTATTTTCTATCACTTCAGTTTTTAAAATCATTTTGCAGCAGCTCAGGAATCAGGTGATCAGTAAAAACAGGGGTAAGGTGCTTCTTGCACCAGGTCCTCACAGAGATCTCTTGGGGAAGAAGCAACAGCATCAACATGGCTGAGCAAAGAGGGGCGTGTCAATGTTTGGAGAAGATTTTTTCGGGAGGGGGTGCTTGTTTTTTTGTTGGTATAGGCAGGAAGCTTAAGATGTTATCTGCAGGCTACAATGTGTGCCATTTTAAACACACTGCTCTTAATAAATACCGACAGCAAATCAGGACAAGAACAGACGCAAGTTGTTTCAGGCGACTTCTGTCAAGTGAACAGTAATGCGCCAGGATTAGTGGCAATCCTCTCCATATTGAAGAGAGCAAGTCGCCTGCAGATGAAGTGCTCCAGGCATTGCAGTGGGTTTATCAAGGGGTCCTTGATATTCTGGAGCAGATGTACAGGCTGCAGCATTATCAGTAGCTTTTCAATTCAGCCATCTCGTGCTGAAAACTGGGTGCCAGTAGTGGTGGCACTTGTTTTTAATTCCAGAAGCATCCTAAAGGACCCACATCCCAGTGGTTCCCAGACTGCTGCCTTCACTCCTGTGATGTTGCTAATGCAACTAGACTTGCTCTTAATAACTGAAATGTTAAAAGCACAATATCGGCAGGGCAATAGTTTGAGCCAGTGAACCATTAACTTCCATTCTATCGTGTGCAATCAAAGTCAAAGTTCAGTGGGGCTCAAAAAGGCAACAGCAACTATCCCCAGTGTCAACATCCTCCCTTATAGCATGTGTCCCTTGAAAATGCCAGCTCTGAGGACAACCTTTTCTGGTATAATTTTATTAAATGAGTGCTAATATCTTGAGGCACATTATTCTTCTCTCCATTCCAAGAAAGGGAAAAGGTGTATGGATTAGCTCTTTATGTATAAAGACACCTCTTGCATACTCCTGAATAAAGATCTCTTTGGACAGACAGTGCTGAAGACCTATTCTTCCTTTACCTTTCATCAGCTTTATGCCACGCTACTGGCTTAAGACTGCCTAAAAATTAGGACTAACCAATTTTATTGAGTTACCATGAAGGAACCCTCATAACAGAGCCAGCTGTGGCTTTTTCTAATAACACCATCAAGGCTGGTTTCCAGAAGAATCTTATCTGATCACTGGCATCTGGTTTGAATTGCTTTGTACATTAGCACTGAGAGCTGACTCAGTCTCTGGGCACCTCAAAGGTTACTTTCAGGCACAGGTTAGTTTGCTTGCTAGATCCTTGTCCACAGTAGAACATATAAATTTGTATTCCAATTCAATTTAAAGGAAATATCCTAAGAAAAATCTGTCCCTGTAAGACCTATAGGCTGGAAAATAATGAAAAGTCAGGAAATTAAGGTAAAAGCAGCATCTCACTTTCCATGGAACCCATTTCTTAAAAAAACTGTCACTGCTTCTTCTGGGATTTAGATGTGCAGCCCTTCGTGTTAAGAGTTTTAAAAGAGGCAATTAACAAAATGCATATTATGGTCTCTTTGAAGCAGCATGGTGGGTCTTGCTCTAATAACTTTGTCTGTGGAAATCCTGTCTTGCCCCACGTCCATCTTGAGCTCAGGAAACATAAGTAAAAGAAAGGCAGTCTGGAATTCCTCCCTAAATGAACTTCTAGCACAGCAAAAGGGTTTATATGAACTTGGAAGGTTTTCTCCTGCTTATTTCTTCCCTTTTTTTTTACCCCCCCTTTTTTTTGCCTCATTAGCCTTCCAGCAAAAATGCTGCATTACACATGATTCTGAAATGGTCTGTATTCTCCATGCAGTTTTTATGCAGTATATAAAATAGCTTAATCAAACACATACCAAAGGAGGCATACACATGCACAGGGTGAGAGACAGCAGGCACACCTGAGACTGAAGTGCATCCTGTTCATAAAGGGAGATATAGTGCTGATGGCATTTCACACTGAGGTATCCAGGGACCATCACATGGCTTGATGAGACCAAGGAAGCTCAATAGACTTTCCAAACCTAATTAGTACTTAATGATCTGGAGAGACACGAATGTCCATCACCTCTGCTTCAGCCCCTCTGTTCTTCCTCAAATTCTTAATTAACCTTTAAGGAGATGATGTGCTGATGAGTTTCCTAGGATATTGCATTGATTTTTTTTCACACACGCACACATACACACTTGTGCACGGGCTCATACACACCACACACTCCAGCTCACATATTAAAGAAGCTCTGATACAATTTCTCAGCTCCAATGCACTCCACACAAGGGCTCTGCTGATCAGTGTTTATTAATGAAGCGCTGCCTCGAAAATTGTTAATTGATGGCAATGTACAGAACGTTGTCTGGAATTTAACCTTATTCATCATTTAAGTATGTTGGAAACTAGAGCGTGGTGTTAATTAATAGTGTAAGAACAAAGTTGGATCGTTCTGCTGTGGATCTGAAAAACAAAATCGTACAAGCAAAGAGAGGGAGAAAAAAGCTGTGATTAAATATAAAACCAGAGCAAAAAAGAGAGAGAAAATGGAGCCAAAGCCAGTGTCATATTCAAGATGACTCACTTTGTGCCGATAATGAAATAAAAATTTTCTTGTGAGCTTATATAATATTTTACTGTTGTGTCATATTTAATCAACTTTGAGTTTTAACAAGCTAAGTAGAAGGTGGGGGGAAGCTGCTACCAATGAAGTGAAAACAGATTAATAAGTTTTGAAAACTTAATAACCAAATTTTCAGATTAAAAAAAAAAAAAGTAAATCAATGTTGGTAGCTGAATTCACCAGGGGGGAAAATGACAAATGGAGGATGCCTTACTTAAAGTTCACTTAATAACAATCTAAATATATGGTGATAATGTAGTTTGCAATGCTAACAGCTGCACTCTTCCAGGCTTGTCTAGATGTTTTCAAAGCTGCTTGTTCTACACGTCATATGTGTGATCAATGAAAACATATCTACCCACACATTCATTTAAATGAATTATTACCGCACAGTCAACATGCTGCCATTTGAGTGCATGTAACGCTGTAGTGATGTTGCCTTCCACAGGACTGTTGCCCTTGCACTTGAAGCACTTGAGTTTGGGCTCAAAATTCCAGTGCACAAGCTTCAGCCAGCTGTATTCAGGAAAATGGACCACTGTTATGAACCAATCTTCTGGTCCATGCAGGAGTTTCTCTGCCAGTTTGCCCCGGATCATAATCAACATACAGGGTAACAGGCAGATAGCTCGGACATTCCTGGCTGTGCTGAAAAGTCACAGTACTGTACCCTTATAGACTAAAGCCCAGTTTCTGCCTGAAATCACATGACAAAGTCTGTGTAGAGCAGCGGCTGAAATCTTGCATCTCATTGGACCTGTCTTTGTGTGCAATTTCTGTGGGGTCTTACCCCTGAACAGATATATCAGTGACTCTTAGGTTTGAAAATGCGGAGGATGTTGTGAACATGCTGTGTGTTCTCCACTCCAGAAATCCTATATCCTAAAATGAGATGATGGTCTGAGGAAATAGAGGAAATGAAAGACAAAGAATAGAATTTTTTTTATTTTTTTTTTAAGAAGTAAACATATTGAGAGAAAAGCAAAGGTACTGCCAGACTTTCCTGAATTTCAGGAGAATGCTGCTCAGGGGTTAATCCAGTCCTCTCCTTTCAGTTTAGAAGAAAAAAACCTGTCATTTTGAAAAAAGGATAAATCCCATCCATTTTCTTTATTTCCAAACTCTTTTCTCCCTTATATCCCAGAAAGTATTCTGGATGTTGACCAAATTTCTAACTTATTCAGATCCCCATAAAACTTAATTTTCCATTGACTTTTCTGGTTTTTTTTAATGTATTTCTTAATTTTTATTTGGGAGGGTAAGCCATAAAATGATAAAATGTGGAACCCCCAGAAGTTGTTTAACCTACCTTCAGGCCCCAAATTAGGATTAGTTCTGTCTGTGTCATCCCTTGAGCCTGTAACTCTGGAATCAGTTGGCTGTTGTTGTGATGGGAATGGATAAGTACATAAAGCCTATAGGAGAATGGGAAATGGATGGTATGGAACCTGGAGCACAGGAGAGGACAATGCAGAGGCATTAGGGGCCATGGAGGAAGTCAATGACTAATGGATACCATGGGAAGGAAGAGATACTGTCCTGCCCAGATCTCTGAAGATGAGAAGCAAGGTCCTGGCATTGCATGTGGGATTTGAATTAAGCCCAGATTCCCTCTGATGTAATTAGTGACTGCTCGTGTGCAGCACACTCTAATGGTTGGGAGTGGGAAGGTATCCAAAGAGCATGGAAAGTTTCAGAGGTATCTGGACTATGTCAGTAGCAGGATGGTGTTTTGCAGGAAGCACAAGAGAACATTTCCTGTTCTGCACTTCATGACCTCTAGCTGAGATCTGGTTGTCCTGATATCACTCTACTTTAAGCTTTCCCTGAGAGCTGATTCAGGCTTTGTTCCCTCTTCTTCCATTACATGCCTGGGGGCATAAAGGACACCTCCCTACACACACTAAGCATGCAACCTGACATGTAAGTTGACATCTCTCAGCCAGGACATTTCTGGTGTGGGTGGCAAGAGTACTCTGTTATTAACGGCTGTTAAGTGAAGTTAGGTAGCTTAATTTTTCTTCTGAGAGCCAAAAGCAAACAAATGCCCCATGGACCAGGATCATCTTCGTTCCTATCTTATGGGCAACCCTGAATACAGAACCTGGCAGCATCTGGACAAGTAGAGGTCAGCTATCTCTAGTCACTTTCTTCTACTTCTTACTGAGAAGAAAGTTTTTCTTCTAGCTGTGAAAATTTGTTTAGATGAGCAATGAAAGGAAAAATACATTGCCTCAATCTAGGACCATAGGTGACTAATTAAAAATAACAATGGTCTTAAATTTAGGAAGATTGCTTAATGGTGGGCCAGAGCATCTTTTAGTTCTAGAAAATCGAATGAATAAACAAATAAATACATAAATTAAAAGGAAAGAAACTCACCTGCTCACTCTCTGGAATCTCAGGGGTTTTAGAGGGTCAGGGGTGGCCATTTAGATCACCAAAGGCGACCCAAAGCTGGCAGCTTAGTGACTGTGTTCTTAGCAGTGCTTACACCCAGCCCTGGACATTAGAATCTGTTTAACTGAGCAAAATAAACATGTTAATCATGATCCTGGGGATTAGCTTGTAGTCTGCTTGAAAATCTCTGCATCATTTTTGGCCACCAGAGTTGCTCTTTATCGGAGCCGGTTTCACGCAGAGATTAGGCCCCAACAGGGCCCTTGGAAGTGTACCCAGCAAACTCCCAAGGGATTTTGGGGTCAGTGGTGAAGTACCTTGCAAACAAGCTCCTGGCATGGGTCTCCCAAAGTGGCCTCTCCTGACCTAACAGGGAGAGTGTTAAACTGTGGATTTCTGTCCTTGCTTCACCCCCATGAGCGATATGAACGTGAAGGGGTCTGTTGTGTTCCCCCTCTTCTCCCAGCTATCACCTGTGTAGGTTACATAATTTTTTGCATCAATGTTTGTCTCTTGTATTTAACACACTTCTCCTTGGCAGGGAGAAGGTACTACCTTGGTGGGAGTTTGTTTCTGGGGCACAGGCACAAGGCAGAGCCAGTTCACTCTTACCTCCAACATGAGTCAACCCCACCAGAGAAGCCCTGCAGAAGACAGTGCTCAGCATCTGCCAGGAGCTAGAGGAGCTGGAGAGTGGTGAGGCACTGGCACAGGTTGCCCAGAGAAGTTGTAAATGCCCCATGCCTGCAAGTGCTCAAGGCCTGGCTGGGTGGGACTCTGAGCAACATAGTCTAGAGAAAGGTGTCCCTGCCCACAGCAGAGAGGTTGGAACTGACCATCTTTAAGGTCACTTCCAACTCAAATCATTCTATGATTCCATGATTCTATGATTCTATGATTCTGTGACTACATAGTGGGATATTCACTGCCTTCTTAACCCTGAGAGAGAAGTCCTCCCTATCTGTTCCAGTTAACTCCTGCACTAGTGATCTTTGCTTTCCACTGTGGGTGAGTGAGAAGAGACTTTTGATTCTGCAACCAGGTGAACTACCAATGACAACATTCAGCTTTCACTGGTTTGACTAGGGACCATGTCTTTACACAAAAAAAGGTCAGAATCCTTTCTCAAATAACTTTTAGTAAGCACTTAGCCTTGGAAAGACAGAACTTGGAAAGAAAGGCTTTGTCTCCTAAACCTAGGAAAGATGTGCACAGGGGTGATCAGAGTGGAGTCATGAAGCAGATGATTGAAGCTCCTGTTTTGTTTTGTTGACAAATATGTTTTAATCAGATAACACTGATGGTGGTGAATGTGGCACTACCTGTTTGGTGCACAGTAGGACCCACTCAGCTCTCTGGGAGACATTCACATACTAGTTTGAGTATCTCACCTGTCACTAGCAGGTGCTTGTCATGAAACAGGGCTCATTCCACGCACTGTAGTTAGCCTTTCTACAACACTGTCGTGCACGTAAGACATTCACTCCATCCTTCCTATTTCTTGGTGTCTTCTTCCAGTGATCAAACTTCTGCATACCTATTAGCAAACAGCCTCAACATCCCATAGTGTTATTTGAATGACAATATGATAAAATAATAATTAAAAAAAGAATTAAAAAATATCCAAACCTGACTGGGGAATCTTTAGGGAACTTTTCTCTGTCCTTCTACCTTGACGTGCAACATGTTGATTTCATTCCTTTCCTTCTCCTGCCATATCTGTGCTTGCTTCCTTTCTCCTTCTTTTCCTCCCCACTCATTCCTACAGGTAAAAATAACCCAAAAAACACGTAGCAAACAATGCTGTGTCAGCTCCTGCTGTGCCACATGCTGCCTCCTTGCCACATGCTGCACGTTGGACACACATTCTCACTCTGTGAGCTGAATGGGTTGTATGCCTGTGTTTGAAATTAGGCACATGCTGGAGCCCTCTGCTGAATGTGGGACCTAGGTTGTGACATTGATGGTGTACAGACAATTCCCCCTTTACAAGTGGGGACCAGAATCCACTTCCCAATGCAAATGCTGAGTATTTATAAGACTAATAGACACAGGTGTAAGAGTCTTTGAAACAGCAATGTCAAGAGCTGTCTGGTGTCAGTGAAGAAAGAGGCCTCTGATCTTCCTGTGACCAGGCTAAAGGCTTCTGTGAGCCCAAAATGCATGTTGATTCAATTCCACATCCCTGTCCTGAAATTCCTTTGGAAATGGAGCATTTGCTGAAATGAAACAAAGCAGTCATTACAAATGCTATTCATTAACAGTGTGAACCTTCATATTCACCTGCCAAGACATTGGTAGCAACTCAGCAATGTTGTTCCCTGAGCACCGACTGTTGGGTTTTAATGACATTGTTCTATTAGAGCTGTTCAAAGCAACCATTTGAGAGCTGTCTGGCTGCTGTAGTAAAAAAAATAATAATAATTTGACCTTGACATCCTCTTCCATCTCATCATCCTAGTACTCTTTGGGGGCAATCATTTATATAGTATATATCTTGTATATAATCTGTCACTCTTCCTCCTGCAGTCCTGGTGAGATAAATGTGCAAGCTCCTTTATGTTGCACTAACTTTACTCAGCACCTAAATACTTCTATTTCCATGCATGCTTTGTAAATGCCTATGTGCCAGTGTTTCCTACTATGGCTCTACACCTGTGAGAACTGGGCTCTCGTGTGTTACCTCCTTCATGCTTTACTACTTTGACTGTGTATGCCTTTATTAACATGTGACTAATAGTACTTAAATTCTGTCTGCTCACCCATCTACTTGAATGCAATAGAGTCTCCTAGTTGTCACATGCAAAAACCTTCCAAAATGTCGAGATTAGACCATCAGGACTGTGTAGTTCCCTTATTATGCTTTTCCACTTTACATCACTAAGCCAGGGCTAATGAAAGGCAGATGGACAAGTCTGTAGAAGTCAAAAGACAAGTTCATTCTGGTCTCTCATGGCAAACCTCCCTGAGAAGTTACTATCTTCATCTCATCTGACATCATCTTGTCAGTTAATGATAGTGTCCAGGTTTTTACAATGAAATGAAGATTTGAGTGGACTGATCCCCAAGCCCCAAAAGATGGTTTTATAAGTAGTGGCCAATTCTGTTACCATTCTTCCAAGATATTGCAGCAGGAAATTGAATTCAAGCATAGAAACAGCTTACTGCAACATTATCTCTTAACAAGGGTTTAAATACCACATCAGTAGCAACACAAATAGAGAGAAATTAGGTCTGTAGTAAAAATGTAAACAATTTCATTTATGCTACCTTTCCTCATAAAAAAAAAAAAAGTTGACAAAAACAATTGTATAAGGTCCTTAAAATTTTTCCATCGAATATTTTGATTCCATGGACAAATAGTAAGTGAATGCATATATAAATATTTATATTTTAAAAGGCCACCATGCTGTGAATAGCAATTTGGGTAACTGATGCTTATATCTTCTTCCATACACCATAATCTTAAATTAGACTCCATGGATATGGTACGTATAATAGTCTGTAGTCTTAGTGGAAAAAAGGAGTTCATCATGGGAACTTTTGCCTACAGAGTATCCTGAGAGGCTTGGTATGTCTGGGGAAGCCATCTCGCAGCAGAGAACGATGGCGGGGAAATGAAAACACACTCCCTCTGGCAGCATCTTCAGCCTGAAATCTTTGGGGTGTTCAGGATTTGAAAGGAAAAAAAAAAAAAGATTCTCCATAGACACCACATTTGTTTCATGAAAAAAACATAGAGCTCAAACACTAAATTTCTCCGAAGAAACAGCCTGATTTCACACTAAATGGTGATTAAGACCCAAGAGGAGAGGCTTTCTCCAGAATGCAGCCACCCACCCGTCCCCCAGATTTCTTTAGCCAAAGAAGTGCTATGAGGAATAAGATCGTCACGACCTTGTGGAGGAGTCTCAATGAAATCCTTGTGATCATTCTGTTTGGCTCCAAGTCATATATATGCAGTAGCAATGTCTTCCTGTTTCCTCCCCAGCCATATTCCCAAGGGCAGTCAGGGAGACCACAAGGAAAATGAGCATTTTGCACAACTGCTGCTGATGTCCAATATTCACATGTGGCACCTCCCTGTCACCAGAAAGGCGATCTAGTTTTTCATTTGTTACTGACTTGAATTTAATTCTGCGAAGTGCCCCTGAGGAGAGGAAAAAACACAAAACCCACCACCAAAAAAACCTCTGTCTCTCCCATTACTATCCCTTTGGTTATCCTATCCTCTACTGCTGCAAGAGACCTGCCACTAGCAAATTCCCAAACCATTCATTTATTTCCAGGGTTGTGCTCTGAAGCCTCATTCTTCAAACATAACAAATCCAACAGCTTCATGAGTTGAGCTATTGTGGATTTTTCCCTGTGACTGCAAATGGGAATGGTCTGTACAAATGAAAGCCCAGATCTCTCTGCTATTACAAGTAAAAGAGTCTGGGTAAAATATCTGCTGAAGAATATATTTTATGTGTTTTCTTTGACTGTCCGTCCAAAAGTGCTGAGTGATGGTCGGGTGCTGTTAGGAGGCACTGATAATGGCCTTACATTTATAAAGTACCAACCATCCAGATGGACTCCCAAAGTATTTTATAAACTTTATTAACTGGTTGTTCCAGCTCCACACGTCACCTTATTTCTATCCATCTGTTCACAGCTATAGCCCTATACAGAGTATTTCTCTTACCACAAAAGGGTGGCTATTCCGGGTTTGGGATATAACTGATGTTTAAGAGCTCACATCAATGTGGAGTAACAACTCCATGGCTTAGCCCTTGCTTCTCTTCCATACCTCTGTTGACTTCAGCATGAATTAAAACTAGGGAGCATGAAATGAAGCTGCTGAGGAATCAGGTCAAAAGAAAGACAAGGAGGTGATTTTTGTGCAGTAGAGCAGAGTAAGGCATCTCACTGCCACTAGCTGCTTAGATGTAAAAGTTTACATAGATTGTGGGGAAGTTCACAAGTTCATGGAAAATGTTGATCCACACCCACCTCTGCCACAGAGATGTGCAATGGGTCTGGACTCATTGCTGTCAGCAGCCCTAGACCTCTTTCTGTCAGAGCTGGATTTTGTGTGTCTGTGTAAGTTTTCCTGTAACAATGTCCATGCAGAGGACCCAGCAGCAGGGCTCCTCGTTTAGGTGGTGACTTGCCCAACTGGACATCATCAGGGGGGTGTTGGCCCCGTGATCTCTCACGGGCTTATTGAAAGGAATTTGCCTAGATTTTAATCCCTCTTTACCTCCTTGTACTGCTGTAAAGTCCTGAGTTGAAGCTGCGATTGCACCAGTACAGAACAGGGAGACAGTAGTTGGGGCAATCAGTTTGCAGTTAAAATACCTAGTCAGGGACTAATGAAGGAAAAGACACAGTGAAGGGAGAAGGAGGCAGTGAGGATGTATTGCTACTCTCCCCAGGTGAGATGGAAAAGGTTTACCCAGTGCTTCCTCATCCCAGAAATTT